TTTGCTCCTTTGGCAGGTTAAACTAGTTTTCACTGGATAATGTTCTGAGTATTAGATGTGGGACATATATTTTGACAAGTAAAGTTAAATCATAGAAATGTAGAACTGGAAGGGACCTTGAAAGGTCATCGAGTCCAGTCCCCTGCCTTCACAACAGGACCAAGTACCATCCCTGACAGATTGTTTTGCCCCAGATCCCTAAATGGCCTCCTCAAGGATTGAACTCACAACCCTGGGTTTAGCAGGCCAATGCTCAAACCACTGAGGTATCCTAAGCGAGGCTGTAAGCTAGTGACTTTTAGATACACCTCTACCCCGATAACGCTGTCCTCGGGAGCCAAAAAATCTTACTGCGTTATAGGTGAAACCACGTTATATCGAACTTGCTTTGATCCGTCGGAGTGCACAGTCCCGCCCCCACCCCCGGAGCGCTGCTTTACCGCATTATATCCGAATTCGTGTTATATCTGGTCGCGTTATATTGGGGTAGAGGTGTATTATTAATTGAAATGACTGCAGTATGGAACTAGTTCTGCTCCTGGGAAACTTCAAAAAGTGACTTTACAGATTAAAACCTTGTAAATCTCTCCACAATTATAATGGAGAGCTTTTTATTTGGACAAGGTACCCTGACAACTTGGGCAAGCTTTAAAGAGAAGGGAAATGACTAAAACTGAATTTAGAGTCAAAAATAACTGGGACATAAACTGATAAAAGTAGCTTTAATTTCTAATTCAGGTACCATAAACACATTAGTGGAAATGCCCTTTACACCAAGGATTTATTTGAAGTCAAAGAAGATCAACAGCAGTTTATTTGAATAATAAACTATATGGCAAAATTCACTGATTGGATGGAATCCTCACTTTCAAAGTCAATCACAAAAATTCCCTTCACTTCAGTGGGGCCAGGATTTCACTCTATACTTCAATAATTAATGAGTCCATAAAGGCATTGAAAATACAAATGTAAACCAGCAAATTGGATCTATTAAAGAATAAACACCATTCCATCAGTTTTAAAATGTGATTTAACTAAGCCAGATGCATGTCCTGAAGCAGTGGTTCCCAAACTTTCACTCAGGCAACCCACCAGCTCCATTTTGTATTTTTTTGTGACCCACCCTCAGCTCTGGCCCAGCAACCCTAGTCCTGGCCTGCTGTGGAGTGGGGGGGCGGTCGAGCCCACGCTGCACCCGTGGCTCCTGTCCCATGATCCTGGGCCGCACTCTCCATTCCAGGCATTGTGACCTAGCGCACAGTGTCGCAGCATCATTGGTTTGGCCCAGTTGCCCTGAAGGGGAGAAGTGTAAGTTTGCCTAGGCCAAGACCCAGTGATGGGTTAATCTGGCCCTGGACATGATGACCCATCTAGAATCTTCCCATGAACGCACTCGTGGTCATGATTCACCATTTGGCAAACACTGTCCTAAGGCCTACAGTCATGCCTTTTGCAGGAAGGCTTTTGCATCAAGATCCCTAAGCAACACAGGAGGAAAAAAAAGCTTAGATTCCAAATAAGATGTTGGCAACTGTTCATCTTAATTTCCACTACTACATTATAGGTTATGAAAGAGAAAATATCCATATAGAAGCTGATTAAACAAATTTGCAAATGATTGGTAAAAACTCCATCTTTAGCACCACCTAGAATCCAGTGTATGATGCTAAAACATCTTCATGTGGAAAATAAAGTTGGTAAGGAGCTGCACATAGCAGATGCCATTAGCAGAGCAATAAAGAGATCACCTGCCACCTGAAAATAGGTATGTAACTCACCATGAGGCATGTGTCTATTATGGTGCTATTTACAAAATCAGCAGAATTCCACACTGAAACACAAAGAACTGTGTGTACATTGAAATTAACATTTTTTACAAGGATAGCCCAAAGAAAGAGCACAATTAGATCTCAACCTGAGGTTATTTTGGAAAAAAAAGCACCAGTCATCTAGGTCTAGAAAAATGTAAGCAAGGAACAGCAGATATCCTGTTTGGGACTGAGATAAGAGCTTACATACATTGATTCAGACAAGCACAAACAAAAAAAGCCACAGTCATGAAATCCTAGCTCTACCCGACTGAGCCTAAGAGAGGATTTATTTGAATTTGACAATCTAATTCCTATTAATTTATCACTACTCTAAATTCATAGAGCTTTCACAACTAACACGCTCACCAGATAAATGATTACCCATATAAAGTTGGCAAGTGTAAGATTGAGTCAAGCTCCCCATGTTGGACACTGACCAGACTGCGGTGAAAAGTTCCAATTGCTTAATCCCATGTGCTTTTAACTTGCTGGGTTTGGGCAAAGTGCAGGCACCGTTCCTGGCTTTAGGACTCTCTCCCTTGGCATGCACTCCAGGTGTAAACCTCTGTGTCTGACAGTAGGAACTTGACAGTCCAGTTGCCTAGAAACTGAAACTAGTGTCATCTCCCACCTCAAACTTCCCCAGCAGCTCTTGCTCACCTTAGAATCTCACCGAAGTGTGAGCCCTCCTGGTTTACAGTTTACCTCCTCTGGGGTATGAGCTAGTGGCGCCAACAGACCCAAAGACTTTTCACAGGATCCTAAAACACCAAACTCTTAGAAGTATAAGAAATACACAGATCCATGCCCCTCATGCATTTCCCTGCCTCAGCTTTCCTTCGCCACCCTGGAGAGTTTTTTTGGCTTGGGCAGAGTACCCGTCTGGGGTGTCCAGAATCCTTCCCTTGAAGCTGATGACTTCTCTTCAGGAACACGGAGCCTTCTCTACCCCAGCTAGCTTTCTCTATCCTTGGTTGGCCCCACCGTTAAACTGGATCTCCCTGACCCCCATGACCCCCACTGTCTCTTCTTCTCGCTGGCCTCAAACTTCCTCCAAAGCCTTCCAAAATTCCTTCAGTGAGTCCTTTTTAACTCCCTGTTTTATCACCTTTTTCCTGTTGGGAATTTTCCACTCTCTCCACTTACCCCTCCCTCCAGACAGGCTTCAGTCAGCCTCCTTCATATACCCATTGTTCAGTCCAGAGCACAGTCATTAAAGTTAATAACTCTCCATTGGACCTGGTTTGAGATAGACATTCTATGGCTCTGTCAGCAAATGGGGGATTCAACATCCACACAGATGATACAATTTTAATCATTTTCATAATATGAGCTTCACACCATCAACCAGAATTCATAAGTTGTACAAGCAGATTCCCCAAAATATCACAGCCAGGCATGGAATACATGACCATGGATGCTGGTTTTCAAGAATTTGTGAAGGCCTCCTCATCTGAACTCACAACCTCCTTGCCAAAATAGCCACAGAACAACACATTGCCTACAAGCTATTCAGAGAGAGAAAAATCTCTTAACGAAATCTAAACATGACGGATACACATCGGTCCCTGAAAGTCCACCAAGAGGATTATTTCCCCCAGAACCTATGCAAATGGTCAGACACACAACAACCTCACTTCTGACAGAAGTTCAGTTACTCAAGCCCTGAGCAAGTACAAGATGTACAACTGCAACCGGAGGAAAGAGAATTAAACAAACTGTACTTTGACATAAATACAACACCACTGTCCAGCCTGATAGCTGGGCAGCTAGCCCATTTGAGAATGGACAGTTACAGCTGGAAGTCAGCTAGTGTTGTTACATCCACACAGATACTGAGAAAATGGACAGCCAGAGATACTTGAGATTTACTTGAAATACCTGAGACAGCCCAGCTACCCATCAACACAGGGGGGGGGGGGGGGGAAATAGTGAGAGCTTGATTCCTTAAGGAACAGATGAGTGTACACAAGGACCTCTGTTCATTCTGGTGGAGTCACTACAGACAGAGTCACTGTCAAGATCCCCAGGTGCAGAGATTTCACAGATACGCATATAAGCAAAACAGTACAGTTCTAAGTAGAACTGCAACATAAGTAGCCTGGAGTGTGCCATGTTATTAGTAGCCATGTCCTGAGAAAACCAATCCAATACTGACAGGACGGAAACAAGCTATAACTGAATGATTAAGCAATTTTGAAAAATATGTCAAAATGTATTAAACATGATGAATCTGAAACGGTTCTGTTATTTTAAAGTTCAAAGTATTGTCATGGGGAAGTAAATTAGCTAAAAGGGATAGGGTAAACATAGGTATCACATTATTAGTATGGCAGTAGTTATGCTAATGAGATGATGTAATATTAATAAGTGCAGGACGATGCTAATAGTTGTGTTAATTCTGTGAACATGCCCACTGTGGACTAGATGTTTCCGGTCTGAGCTGTGTATTTCAATACAGTGCTTTGCCTTCTCCTCTGAAACACCTGATTGCTTACTAAACTTTACCCTAAGCAGTACTGTGCTAGGTCAGTACACAGTACCCCGCTATACCGCCGCATGCTTCAAGAAGTAGCTCTGGTGATTCAGTAGGTGACACTTTCCTTCTGAGTTGGTAATGAATCAACGCCCCAGTATGATGTTAGGGAAAAAATCTGCTCCTGGAGATGCTATCTTTTCAGTAAGACACCAAACCTAAGTCATGACCGCTTGCAGTTATTAAAGAACCCATTGCATTCTTCATAAAGGAAAGGGTATTCCCTCTGGTGTCATAGCCAAATTCCAAATTTAACAAATTGCACTGAGATATGTCCTCATATTTTCTACTGGCTAACGTATTCTTCTTCACTTCCTCTCCTAAAATACTGTATAATGCAGCTGCAATGTCCTACCTCAGAGGTGGCTACGTAACAGAGGTGGATGAAATGATCCTTGTGTAAAGTTTGAATTGCAATTTAAAACTGCAAATGATCCAAGATCCTCTGGGATGAATGGTACTAATAAATCTAGGAGTGCTGCTTATTACCTATGCTGCTACAAGCCAAAATGCTGAGCTGCAGTATCAATTTGGTACCCATTCTGCATTTGTGTACACGAAGCTTTACCGGATAATGTATAAGCTTGCCATGTTGAATGCAGCTTTCTTATTTAGCTTTTCAGCTGAAATTTGATCACATCTCCTGGAAGTACCTTGTAAGAGGTGAGGATGAAGAGGCTGGTGTGCTGTAAGCACTGCTGTCATCTCATCATGGTCAGAAGGATGTATATACTCATAAATGCTATTGCCAGTAAGCTCCACCTGTCAAGAGACATATAAAACATTAGGCAGTACAAACGGCCTTTCTTTTAATAATATAAAGCATTCTTCAGTGACCTACGTATACTACATCTGTATACTGTGCATACAGTCCATTACCCTTACAACGTGTGGTTTTTACTGGACCAAAACCATGTACCAAATTATACCTATTAAACTGAATCATTCCTTTTTCAGTGGTAACTAACACTTTGGAAGCTTTTGTGGGAATTTCTGGTGCTATTCTGCACACAGGGGAGTTGCTAGTGGAGAAAGCTGGCAAGTGAAGAGATGATAGAGGAGCTACAGAAATGTTAGCTTCCCACAAAGAGGGGGGGGGAAAAAATCTCCACAAGCTGCATAAACTTTTCTCACAGACAAACATACACTAAAAGTTTTACATGTTCCCAGAAACCATCATTTAGGTTCTGTCTGTATTTGAAATTTAACAGCCAAGCCAGCAAATTGATACATTTCCTGTTACTTTTTTTTCTGTAAATGCCCTCCAAAAATACAATCCAAACTCTTATTAGGACCAAGTCTAGTGCCCATTTAATTCAGTGGAGCTATTCCCACTTATATCAATGAACATTGGATCCAGCATCTCCTGCTTCAAATAAATGTGCAGAATAATAATAAAAAAAAAAAAGACCAGCTCAGCAAGAGTTTTATTTGTCCTTAATTTCCTCAATAGAGCATATTCCTATTTCTCACTTGCTCTGAACCTCTGTTCACACATGGATGTGTTTCTGTCATAGTATTTGTCCCTTTCTATATATGATGTACATAATAAATATAGTATAGAGGCTGGGAGCACCATTACAGCTGGCATGTGCTGTATGTCCTTTTTGCTAACTTTATTTGGCACATGTAAAAACGCATCAACAAAAAGTCTCCAGATAGATGCAGTAATGGATTTAAGTAGAGAACCAATACTTTGAGCTTGTGTTTTAAATTAGTGTCAGGCTACCCAATTGTTCATTGTGGCCTGATGTGCATTGGGCCCCAAAGATCAGAGACAGCTGAGAGGTGAAGTAATTTAACCTATTCTTCTGGGCCAATCCTACTGATTTGCTAAGATGTGTGAGTTGCCTTTTCTTTAGAATAAATGAAGTTGTCTAGCCCACAAAGCAATCTTTTCCCGAAAATGTCTCTCATAGTTCCGTTTTCTGCATTATTCATGGAATGTCTCTTCCCAGCACTATACAAACTAATTCTTTCTAGCCATCTATTCCCCACTGTTCCCTTCCATCTCTCCCTCCCCTACCCACTCCCACGTCCCAAAAAACAAAACCCTTGGTACACATTCAATATTCCAACCAGATATTAGCACATTTCTTTAAACAGACAGTTTTCAGTTGCAGAAGGAAAACAAGAGATACCAAATTAACAATGTTAGTTCACATAAATCATTGCCCCTATGAGAAAATATTTGGGATCATTCCTTTTCAGGATTACAACAGGTGGGAACATCAACACCAGCTCAGTATATTTTGGCTTTAGTGGCTGGTGAAGGATTGGAAGTACACAAGGATGAATCTTTTTGCAACTTGTGATTTTTTTTTCACTCTTTGTAAAAAAAAAAATAAAACAGGCAAAAGTAGCAGATTGATCCATAGTATGTCTATGATTATAGACAGGACTATGATTTTCACAAAAGCTCTAATGCAACGTTTTTAGAGCACTGTGATTTGCATTGCTCTAAGCTCTCAAGAAAACAGAACAAGCAAAAAATCTAATTGGAGAAAGACTGAGTTTGGATGAATGTTCAAACCGAAATGTGGGGAGGTGGGGGTCTATGGACTTTCCTGTCCCTCTGAGTTTAACCCTCTGTCTGGAACCATCCCCTCTTAAAATAGCTTTTATCCTTAGCTCATAAGGATATTTCTGAAGAGCAGGCTTTTTGCCTTTGAAATGAATCAGACTGTACCAAATGGAATGTAGTTATAAAAAATGTTCATAGGAAGGATATCCTCAGATCTCTTTTATTCCGTCCCCTGTACAAAGGCATTCTTTCCTCCACCTGCCCTGCAAAGCTAATTACAAACACTAATTAGGTTAATCCAAAAGACTTGCATATTTAATTGATCATAATCCTCACATGGGGACCAATCCTGCAAAACCTAATTCACGTGAGTAGCCCTTGCTTTTGAAAGTAATCCTGTTGACTTAAATGGGACTACTCACCCAAGCAAGGACTAGTCACAGAAGGATTCTCAGAATTGGGCCCATGGTCACAATTTTACCTACACTGAGATTCAGATCACATGGCTTATTTCTCAAAGTTAACACAGCTCGCTTTCTTGAATATAGATATAGGGATAAATTCTGTTCTGTTATGCATGTGCAACCCCAATGAAATCAGTGCAGTGCCACATATCTAAGTGACAGCAAACTTTGATCTGTTGATTGTTAAATAAATCTGAAAAACCTAAAACCATCTTCAAAAATCTGGGGCTACATAACAGTCAAATAACCAAAATGTTTGTACATAATTTTTGAACTGACAACTGTCTCCTGTTATGCATATTTTATATGTGCTTTTTAAACATGCAATAAAATACTAACAACTTAAAAAATAAATTATATGGTTGAATCCATAAAACTTCTACAGTCTCACGCATCAGGCTTATTAAACCAGATCCTGGATGAAGCATTTCAATATTTGTAAATACCTATTTATTACCAGTTGTATTTGTTTCCTACTAAGAGCTTTTTTATGTGTAACTCAGCTGTATATTTTCTTTCTGCCAAGAAATGATTCATAATAAACAGAGGACTAAATAAATGGATACTGGAAGAAAATAATTATATATTTTGCCATTAGTATACTTACTGGATGAAAGTAAAACAAACTTTAGCAAGTTCAGATGTTTTTGGTTAAATATTTCAAGATTTATCAAAAATTAAATATAAGTTTTGCTCCCTTGTGGAATCAGAAAATTGTTGGAGTGCCAGCCCAGACTTTCAAAACTGCAAAATCTACTTTTCACAATAAGTTTCTTTGCTTCTGTTTAAAAAGGGTTTTCCCTGCAGTCTACAAGTCACGTAAGCAGTAATGTGTATATCTGTGTGCATGTGCACATATACAAGTTGCACTTAAACTGTACAGCCCACAACATACCATCAATTTTTCAGCTTAAGTCCTCGCAGAATTCACTAAGGGATTCTGCTAAAGAATTGATAGCACAGTATGGCGCTGTCTCTTACATGTGCTCATAAGTGCATGGCTATGCAATGTGTATTTATAGAACTTTCCTCTTCAAAATGTTAACATATGAATAAAAGGATCATGAAGTAAAATGATCATATGAACTTAAATGGTAATGGGTGATGCATTGTGCCAGCAGTTTTTAAGAAAAGCCTCATTGGGGAATTTGCCCCTTTTATTATTCACGGAGTAAGGACACATAGGGTCAGATCCTCAGCTAGCGTAAATCAATATAGATCCACTGACTTTAATAGAGCTATGCTGATTTAAACCAGATGAGTGTCTGGTCCTCAGTATTTACTATTCCTGCTGTTGCAAAAACTGACATGGAGTAAGATAGGACTTTTAAAAATTGTTGCTTCTGATACTTGTGTGTAAATTGTGTCTAAAAAACACTGAATTAGTGGGAAAAATACAAGTTAAGAAAATATCTTTAATGTTGCTTATAAATTTGTAAACACAGTTAAATGTGTTGACTACCAAAAGCTTAGTCAGAAGGTGTAAGTGACTCGCTGTTCTTTCTGCTGAAGCTATAATCAGGATTAATTGAAGGTACAGATTAATACAGCAGATCTCCAAGGATATCTTGTAAATGGTTTTTTTTAATGTATTTTTTTATTTATCATAATTACCTGTTTCAACAAATTGCACTAACTGAAAATTGACTTGTAATCTAGTTTCATAGTGGAAATGGTTCATAAAAAAGGCCTTTTTATAAACATTCTAAAAGATTATCTAAAATCATCATCATCACTTGGAGCGCCAGCCAAGACAAGCTGAGCCCAAACTCAGATATAAGAGCTCTTGTTGAAAATATAGTGTAGGATTATGACTTGGTGAGAGAAATTTGAAGAATTTGCTGCTATGGACCAATTCTGCTCTTATTGATGTCAATGGCAAAACTCCCAGAGACTTCAAGGGAAGCAGGAACAAGACCTCATTTAGCAAAGGATTTTTTAAAAATAAAATGCTTATAGGAGCGTCCTAGGATTAGTGTTTAAAAGTAAGCTGTTCCTTGAAAAATCAAGAATGGAGAGATGGTGGAAGGAGATTCCACAATACGGCAAATTACTGCTGACAAGAAGATGGTTTTGTGTTTTTCTTTTAAAGAGAATAAAAGAATGTGATGTATCATTCGGTATCCAATCCAGTGACTTTATTTTGCAATCGATAGACAGACAGACAGAAAGAATTGCATACTGTGAAATTGTTGGGGCTGGCTACTAAACCTGAAGTGGTGTTTTTTAAAGCAATCATAGTTTTCTACTCCCTAAACACTGCCTCTAAGGCTGGGTCTACACTACAGCGGGGGTCCGACCTAAGATACGCAACTTCAGCTACGTGAATACCGTAGCTGAAGTTGCGTATTTTAGGTCGACTTACCTGGCTGTGAGGACGGGGGAAAGTCGACCGCTGCCGCGCTGCCGCCGACTCCGCTGCCGCCTCTTGCCACGGTGGATTTCCGGAGTCGACGGCAGAGCGATCAGGGATCGATTTTATCGCGTCTTCACTAGACGCGATAAGTCGATCCCAGAACATCGATTCTCTGCCGCCGGACCCTCCGGTAAGTGTAGATGTACCCTAAGTCAGGGGTTCCCAAACTTGGTTCGCGGCTTGTTCAGGGTAAGCCCCTGGTGGGCCGCGAGACACTTTGTTTGCCTGAGCGTCCGCAGGTACAGACGCTCACAGCTCCCAGGGGCTGTGGTTCGCCGTTCCTGGCCAATGGGAGCTTCAGGAAGCGGCGCAGGCCGGGCCACCACTTCCCACTGCTCCCATTGGCCAGGAACAGTGAACCGCGGCCACTGGGAGCTACAAGCGGCCGTACCTGCGGACGCTCAGGTGAACAAGCCGTGAACCAAGTTTGGGAACCCCTGCTCTAAGTTCACATCTTCACATTCTCTTTGCTCTACAGCTTTCCTGAGAGTTCAAGGCAATAGCCACTTCTTACTACTGCAGGATATTCAAGAATTTTCTGGTTAATCTTGCTTCAGTAAACTTTATGGGCCAAATTCACCAGTCCTTCCTCAGGAAAAACTCCCATGGATTTCAGTGAGAGTGCATAAAGATGTACTTAAGGACAGGGGTGAAATTCTGTGCATAAGGACAGCATATGTCCAATTTAAAGGCTTTAAATGACACTGAAGTGGTGCACAGGCCTCATGGTGATCCCCTGCACAAGGGTGAACTTCAATACAGTTTCTTTGAATCTGGCATATTCAACTTATTTTATTCTCCGAATGATTCTGTAGTTCTTTGATTTCACTGGGATATATATATTATTCTACAGCAATGGGTGTCCCACCCACCATCGCTGAAGTGTTTCTTCATTCTCTTGACAAACACAAGAGAATGAAGAAACACTTCAGCGATGGTGGGTGGAACACCCATTGCTGTAGAATAATTGTTCTGTGTAAGTGGATCAATTTCACTAGCTATGGTTATGATGGATCTTTTTAATAGGTAGGTGGATAAAGAGGCTTTGAGTAAGGGCTCTAAATGCAAAGTGGAAAATATAGCCTCTTATTTGGAAAGTATTTCAGGAAAAGGCAATATTTAAAGACATTTAAATATGCATTTAAAATTATGAAACAACAAATATATGCAACTGCAGACTTGATAAACAAATGGCTTAAATTAAAAATTCTCCTTGTATATATTTTAAAAGTTGGTAGAAAAAGTAAGTGTCCACACTGAAACCTGAGTAGTGTCAAAATCTGAAAATTACTTTTCTAACAGAGATTACAAAAAAATAGTCTGAGGTTTCTTTCTTGTTTATCAGGAATGTTTTCAGAATATGATATGTAATATTTGCTTTTTCATGCTTTCTAGAGTTGTTTTTCTAATTGCGCAAACAATTATAAAAATTACACCCAAATAGTCTTCAATTCCTTTCAACATTAATCTCCATTATGACTTAAAATGCACATTTTAATCTCTACCACATAACTCCTGCAGTCTTGGAATAGTTTTCCTATATCTCCTTCTCTCATTGACTCTTCAGATCTCATTTGCAAACACATCATACCTTCCTTACCTTTATCTCTTCATTTCTCTCTCTCTCTGCTATTAATCATTTATCTGTTTTATCAATTCTGCAAAGCATTTGGGATCCAGCTGCTATGGAAGACTCTTTACAAAAAGTTGTGTTCTTTGTGAGGCTAATGCAGAGCCCAATGAATCAATGAGCACCTTTCCAATGGACTTCAGTGAGCTTTGGATCAGGTATTATGTCCCCAAATTTGTAGGATATATTTTCAAACAAACTCATGGAAACACGCATCTTACAATAAATACACTTCTAATTCTATTTGCTGTTGTACTTACTCTGAAAAGGTAAAAATTTAGAAGCGTCCTAAAAACAAACAAACAAAACCCTTCTACTTCTTGTGCAAAACAGTAGTAAACTGAGATTTACAAGTTCTATCACAAGTATATAAAACACTTTACTGAAAAGATCATTGAGCTTTAAAAATTCAGGAAAAATGACCCTGAATTCCATGTAAAAACTCAAATCTGCCCTCTGCCCACCTTCCCACCCCCCTCCCCCAAAAAAGCACATTTACAGTAAGACATGTTCCACATCAGATTTCCTCTCTCATAGATTCATAGACTATAAGGCCAGAAGGGGCCATCATGATCATCTAGTTTGACCTCCTGCTCATGGCAGGCCACAGAGCCACACCCACCCACTCCTGTAGTAGCCGCTATATTTTAGCAATTCTGTGTCACATACAATACAAAACGTATGCACTGGAAATCTTCACTTTTTTTTTTTTCTGAGATGTACAGCATTACCATGCAGGCAGTAGCTTTGAGTTCCAGGCTCAAGCTCAGAAACTACCTCCTGTTTGCAAAAACATTTATCAACCTTATTAAAGGTAATAGGAAGTAAAATTTAATCAACAAGAAAAGATACAAGGTAAGATAATCACATTGCCGCTCTAAGCAAATGGCTTTACTTAAATAAAAGAAAACTTAAGATCAGAACAAAATTGAAGCTTAAGACCTCACTGCAAAAAACTAAACCTAATACATTGACCAAGATATTACCATATTACATCAGTATTTAACAGATGGGCAGAAAGTTACTCCTACCTGGGATAAACCGAGATGAACAGATGCAGTTTCAGAGATATACATTATTTTGCCATCAGATGCTACCACAAAAACAAATCCATCCAATGTCTGCAATAAAGAAATATTTTGGATAAAAATCTCACAGTTTAATTGATAATTTAGAATAAAGATTTTTAAAGTGTTTCCCCTCCCAAGCAGAAAATATATTATTAAAAAGAAATATTTAACCCATACTGTCCCTGTGAAGAATATTACTCAAACACAAATTTGTGAAATCTACTTCATTATCCCCTTACAGAAGTTATGCTGCACTTTAAGTTAACATTCTCCTATTAACTTGGGTTACTTTAGTATTTATCACAAATCCTGAATTATGTGGTACTTAAGGTATCCAATGCTATACAGGCCATTTTTACGATGTAATGGCAGAATTGAGCAATGTTTTAAATTCCTTCTACTATATTTTTATTTATGCTTTTGTGGACAGAGAATTGTCTTTTTCATAGCTATTTGGAACTTGCCAGGGATGAAAAAGCCCATGACAGCTTCAGAAAGAAACAATCCATAAAGGAAACTTCATCAGACTGAAAGTGAAACATTGTAGACATTCATCACTAACATTGCAACCTGACAATCTTAACTAATGGTAACATTTAATGCAAACTTGGGGCCTGATCCTGATAATCCTTACTCACATGAGGTCTAACTTGAAAGTAATGATTACTCATGTGAGTAAAGGTTTGAAAGATTTAATTATCACACAAAGAAAAGATTGACAGGATAGAAATTAAAACTGTACAAAGATGGCCAGGATTTTCAAAAGTAACTAATGATTTTGGTTGCCTCAATTTTGAGGTGCTTTATATTGTATTTTAATAAGGGCTTGATTTTTCAGAAGGCCAGTGCTTAGGAAAATCAGAGATATCTAAAATCACTAATCACTTTTGAACTTCCTGGCCAAATACCTGTACACATGTAGATCACTGAAAAATAAACAGGAATTTTTGGAGGGGGAAACTAACTTCTAAAGTACAGAGATAAAACAACTGCCTTGTCTATTTACTAATTCATATTTTAGGATACTGAACTAGGAGGAATGCAATAAAATCCTGTAAAAGTAATGCACACAATGTGGCCCTAATAAAAAATATTCCAAATTATTCTCTGGCCTACTAACTATTTTTACAGCATGTAATTGAAACCGGATTACTTTTTAGCTTTACTCTTTTTTATCCCCCTCCAACATAAACAAAACTTTGTAGATGTATTAAAATGGGAAAGAAATCATTGCATCCTTAAATAAAAATTTTACTTTAAACATTATTGTCAACTTTCAATTGCTGTTCCCAATCTTCTAGTTAAAGTTGTGTCCATTCTTCCATTAGAATTATTGTTAGGGGTTTCCAACTCAGCTAGAAAAATTGTTGCTTAGAGTTGAAATTTGGCATACAAAATTTCATCCCAGGTGCTATTTTTAAAAAAGAGTTGACAGTAACTGTGCTGATTTAATACAATTTTTGAGCATTTATAATTTAGAAGTAAAATCCATTTTATGCATCATTTACAGGTAATTAGCACATAATATTACCTAACTGCTTTTGACACTAAACAAAATGTAAAATAAGTAAGAGATTAAGTAGCTACTGTATAAGCAAAGGCTTTCATCAAGATTTTTATTATGTACCTACATACGAATTTTCAAGATAGACCAATGGCTCCAAACAAACATATCAACTAAATTTATTTGAAATAAAATTCAAAGTACATATTTAATGAGCTAGATGATAACATCTCCAGGAGAGCAATCACCAAATCTTGCCTAAATATATTTATTAGGGCTGTCAAGTTATTAAAAATATTAATCACAATTAATCATGCTGTTAATAATAGTATACCATTTATTTAAATATTTTTGGGCATTTATTACATTTTCAAATATATCTATTTCAACTACAACACAGAATACAAAGTGTACAGTGCTCACTTTATATTTATTTTTATTACAAATATTTGCACTGTAAAACAAAAGAAATCGTATTTTTCAATTCACCTAATACAAGTACTGTAGTGCAATCTCTTTATCATGAAAGTTGAACTTACAAATGTAGAATTATGTACAAAAAATAACTGCATTCAAAGATAAAACAGTGTAAAACTTTAGAGCCTACAAGTCCACTCAGTCCTACTTCTTGTTCAGCCAATCGCTCAGACAAACAAGTTTGTTTACATTTGCAGGAGATAATGCTGCACGCTTCTTGTTTACAATGTCACCTGCAAGTGAGAACAGGTGATCATGTGGCAACGTTGTAGCCAGCGTTGCAAGGTACTTACGTACCAGATATGCTAAACATTCGTATGCCCCTTCATGCTTTGGCCACCATTCCAGAGGACATGCTTCCATGCTGATGACAAGTTCTGCATATGGCAGAATGTGGGTAAAACAGAGCAGGAAACATACAATTCTCCCCCAAGGAGTTCATTCACAAATTTAATTAACACATTATTTTTTTAACGAGTATCATCAGCATGGAAGCATGTCCTCTGGAATGGCAGCCAAAGCATGAAGGGGCATACAAATGTTTAGCATATCTGGTATGTAAATACCTTGCAAAGCTGGCTACAAAAGTGCCTGTTCTCACTTTCAGTAGCATTGTAAATAAGAAGCGGGCAGCATTATCTCCTGTAAATGTAAACACACTTGTTTCTCTTAGCAATTGGCTGAACAAGAAGTAGGCTCTGAAGTTTTACATTGTTATGTTTTTGAGTGCAGTTATATAACAAAAAAAAATCTACATTTGTAGGTTGTACTTTCACGATAAAGAGATTCCACTACAGTACTTGTATGAGGTGAACTGAAAAATACTATTTCTTTTATCATTTTCACAGTGCAAATATTAGTAATCAATAATAATATAAAGTGAGCACTGTACACTTTGTATTCTGTGTTGTAATTGAAATCAATATATTTGAAAATGTAGAAAAACATCAAAAATATTTAATACATTTCAATTAGTATTCTATTGTTTAGCAGTGCAATTAAAACTGAGATTAATCATCATTAATGTTTTGAGTTAATCGCGTGAGTTAGCTGCAATTAATCAACAGCCCTAATATTTATTTTTTTTAAATCAATAATGTGTTTCAAACCCTATCGTGAGAGAGTTTTCTCTTTTTAAACAAAGGAGTACACCAATTTTAAGTTGGCTTTAAATAATAAGGGCGTGGTGAAAAAAAATCCACTGTTCATGTCATTTCAAATCTTATCTGAATCCTTATCTGAATCTACATCTTTTCTAACGGATCCATGCATTTTGCTCTTCCTTTCCTATTACTGGTTATTCACCTCAGCTGCTTTACCTAGCGCACCAAGGCTTTTTGGGTTCAATCTTAAAAACTATTCCAACTGCTCCAAGGGCGTGACTCCATACCCCTTGAAACTAATAAGGGGCTTTTACCATTAATGTCCATGTTCCTATAATTGCAGTTTATAATATAAAAGCTTCAGGTTTTCATTATGTTATTATTCACGTCACTGTATCTTATCTTCAAAACAGTGGGAATGAAAGACAAGCGTGAGATACAACCCACTGCACTAGCAGTTGTCAGCTTCAACTCTAGTCATATGCATTGTATCAATGTTGCCTACTTCTTAGGCTACTCTGATACAAACTGGAAAAACAATAATGAGAATTAATACAATAGCATGGAAAGTAGAGTGACAAACTCTCTGACTGCATCTTTAAAATCTCACAGCTCAACAGATACAAATGCCAGTAGACTACATTTAGGAATGAGGTTTTGAAAGAGTTTTCAATACTCACAGCTCAGAGGCTGAGTTTCTCTTTAGATATAATCACTACCCCAGTGTACACTTAAAAACAGCTATGTGACTAAATACTTAACTTCCTCAATAAAACTGACCATTAAATAATTAAAATTTATTATGTCTTTAAAGTGGGGGGAGGGGGAGAAAGAGTCCTTGCTGCATTAAGGTTACAAACAGAAAGCTCCCTTTGGGTGCTCCCACCCAACTATTTCTCCCTAAATTCTCTGCTACATGGGGACGTCCACATGGGGAGCAGAAGAATTCCAGAGCAGATCAACAGGATTCGGAACAACTGTATTTTCAGGTGCTAGCGTAAATAGGAGATCTAAGCCAGATGTTCACCTCCTGCTGCAGGAGCCATGCGCTCTTTTAAAGGTTTTCCCTACTGAGCAATCTGTGGAGAACTATGATCTCCCATTTACAAAAACACCCTGACTGGATTGTTGATAGTAAATACTATCCACGTTGCAATTCACCAGGGACCGTTTGTAGTACCAAAAGCGATCCCTTAGTGTGTGTGCGGGGTGGGGGGATTTATTTGTCATTGCTGGACCAGGCAAACCGTTCTTATTAATGTAGGCTGTTGGTACTGCTAAAATCAAAGAACGAACATTAAAATGACTGGCTTCACTCTGAACAGCTGAAAGAAAACCGTGGCTCTAGGTTGTGTGAACAGAATGACCTCGCAAAGCCTTCATGTAACAACTAGGCTGGGAGGGCAATAGGGAGGATTACACAGAGTCACAAAAAATCCCAATGCAGCGTATAAAAATCGAATAAAGCATCTTCTACCTGAAGCAAATGAGATCCCAGCTCTTTAGCCACATTATCCAAGGGCCCTATTCTGCTCGGCTGGCCCCAGGCGTCGCCCAAACCTGGAAAGGAACCGACAAATCAGTTAGAAACTCGGGGATGGGAATGAGCCTCCGGGGCCGCGCGTGTCCCCGGTTCCCTTGGCTGCCCAGGGTGCGGGGCTGACCTGGCCGGGCCGCGGGACACTAACACCAGCGCACGTCTCCCGGCGAGGACGTGTGGTCTTTTCTGTAGGCGAATCAGCGCCATGACCTTGGGGTTTAGGCTCGGAGCGAGCGGAGCCTGCGGGGGGGCGCGCCCTGGCGGGGCCACGCGTGCCTTCGCCTTCAAATGCCACTTTAGTTCAAATCCCGCCAAGTAACCCGACCCCGGCCCGTCCTAGCCAGGGCCCAACTGCGTCTGGTGATGGAAAGTCCCTGCGGTCCCACCGCTGTGAAAGCACAGAGCTGCCGCGCCCTCCATGTCTCCCCACGCGACCCCAATGAGCCTGGGCTGGACTGTGACACGGACCCCAGGCTCTGGGGGGCCGACCCGGCAGCCTTCGCTCAGCCAAAAGCAATGAGGAGGGGCTGCAAGACTGAGCCCCGCGTTACTCTTCTCTGCAAATGCAACTGTTTAGATGAGAGATAGATAGATAGATAGATAGATAATGTGCCCAGGCAGACAAGAGCCTGGCTCCTTGTTATATGCACAAGCCCCACATCCGCGCCCTTTCTCTAGGGGGGCTGTAACCGATGGAGCCCCTCAGGGCAGACCCCACAGCCGCCGCTCGGAGAAGCCGAGCTGGAGGCTGGGCGCAGCCCCAGGGGGGTGTCACTGGCGCACATGAAGCTGCCCCAGGCCGCAGCCCGGGCGGTCAGGGTGACTGAGGCGCTTCGCTTGGAGCCGCGCAGCTCCAATGTCGCTTTCCCAGAGGCGCTGGCTGCAGGGCGGGCGATGGATTTAAAGACGGTGGGAAATCGCTGCTTCGGGGCCGAAGCTGCTGAGCGCCTCTTAACCCGCCGTTACCTACGGGGCTTGGTGAGGCTGAGCAAAGGGCCGGGCCGAGAAATCCCGCGGCGCGGCAGGGCCAGCAGCAGCCTCTGCCCAGCCTCGCTGCCCCTAGGGGCCCGGCCAAGCCCCCGGCTTCGGGGCCACACACGGCTCTGCAAAGCGAGGGGCCTAGTTGCGGCTGAAGGCCGAGCCTGCGCTGCCCAGCGGGGCCTGGCCGCCAAGAGCCCCCCAGGCGAGGGTCTGTCCCCGGGAGCCGAGGCTCAGCCCTGGCGCCCAGCGCGGAGCGTACAAAGCCCTGCGCGCCTTCGCCCGCCAGCTCCTGGCCTCGGGCTGCCCCTCCCGGCCCCCTGGCCAGCAGCGCTGGGTGCGGGTCGAGCGGACGCTGGACCCCGTGCGGCGGCGCAGCCGGGCTGGCAGAGCGAAGTGTCGCCATGGGCGGGTGCCTGGGTCCGGGTCCCGCTGTGCAAACCCCGCCGGGCTTGGGGGGTGGGGGTGGAGTGGCAGGGGAAATGCACGTTCGCTTCAGTGACCTAGCGCTATGGCCGGGGGAGGGGGGGCTAAAAGGACTGTGGCACTCTGTGTGCGTGGCCCCGCTTGGCACCGATGGGAATAACGCCTGTGAGTGTTTCTCCGGCCATTTTACTTATGATGCACCCAGCATGATGCACCCAGTACGACGCATGAACCTTATTCCCCGGCGCGAACAATAACGCGGCCGTCTAGGGAGGCACGGCGGCCAGTGGCAGCTTGGGCACTTATCTCCCGCTGCAGCGCTCCCAGCTGGCGGCGCTAGAGAGCAGCTGCAAACACGCGCCCCGAGCAGGGGCTGGAGAGGTGGCTGTCCGGCGTCACTCACCCCCTGCGGCCCAGTGACCCCCCCATGGCCCCGGCAGACGCTGTACTCAGCCCCAATGCTCCCTGCGGCCTTGCCTGGCCATGCTGCTCGCACAAGCTAAGGTGAATTCTCGACGTAGCCTCTCTGTAGCGGCTGGCCCCGCTCCACACACAGCCACTTGCAAGGGACACTCGTGTGTCAGGACTGCTACGGGCTGGGGCCGGGCTACCGCTATTACACTGAAGGAGACACACACAGACCTCAAATCAGATAGTGCTCTCGGAGCCCCTGCTCTCAGCGCGGCCTTCTCTTCTCTACCCTCCTCCGGGCAATTATTTGCCACTGTTTATTGCTAAAGGCTAGGCATGAAACGTCCTGGGTTTTCATTTGCTTTGCTTGACTGGCTGCAGGTGAAGCAGGCAAAGGCCTGGGCCAAACCCCAAGTCAAGGGGAGGCTCAGGACAGACAATGGAGGGAAGGGAGAGGGTGAGAAGGTCAGGATAAATCTAAACAGTTCTTAGGCAGTTGTTGTGCTGGTCTTACTGACCAATATTATCTCATTGTTTCCTTGTGCTACCCCAGCTGTCTGTATCCACCTTATACTTAGATTGTGAGCTCTTTGAAGCAGGGATTGTGTTTTTATTCTGGGTTTGTGCAGCGCCTAGCACAATGGGTCTTGGCCCCTGACTAGGGCTCCTAGAGACCCTACTAATACAAGTTAATACCAGTATTAATAAATAATGGTTCAAGGCATGACTGTGCTTATTCCACTTCCACCACTACCACTGACCTTCCTATAACTCAGTCATTCTTCTGCTACTCGGGTGCTAAGGAGCCATATCAATAATTCAGTGTATCCGGAGTCAGTCCCAAAGGTATGTCTTCTTTGAACATCCACATTAGCCATCAGAGTTGCCTGAGTGTATGCTTCAGTAAACTGAATGGCAGAAGAATTTTACTTCTACAGGCAATTTGTTTTTGCTTTGGGGTATCTGTCTATATTTTGATGTTTGCCTATATTGTGAAATTGTATTTTTTAATAAATAGAGCTTCCATTTATCTACTGCTATCCTCTATTTCTCTCAGGCACTTTACAGACGTTTACAAATTCCACTGCTACATAAACTATTCCCATCTTTCTCTGCTGAAATGCAGCCTTCTCTTGAGTGGAAAGTATCTGCTGTATGAAGGAGCACAGAAAGGTGAATTTTCCTTGGCAAAATGATGCTAAATTAAAGCGTTAGCAGTTATCTTGTTGCTACACAAACTGCCCTTTTTAATAGTGCAAATGATAAAGTCACCTTGAGCCAGTCAAACGAACTCACTCATAACGTTACAGATACATTTTTTTAAAACTACTCTTATGACTAAGCAGTCTCCTGACTAGCTGAAGTACAAAGCAGGTTTGTTCTTTAAGCCAGTCATACAGAGGATTTTCAATAATGGTATATAAACAACTGTCATTCCAATATACCAATGCCTAGCGGTATATTTGATTGTATCATTTGGTATTACAGTTACAGTTTTAGCAATATCGTCAGTATTTCCACTATTTTTTTCGGAGCCTTCTAGCGCAGACTCGCTATTAACATAAAATCTCTCTCCAGCAGGATTTTTTCTTTTCGAAATTTAAAATCGGTTTAGCCATTTCAAAATTATATCAAATTTGAATACATTTAGTGGATTCCTTGATATTTTCCCTTGTTTTAAAGTCATTTCATCAGTCGATAAAATAATTTCTCAGAATATTATTTTCAAAGGTGGGAATAAAGCGAATACAACCTTAAACTCTGCAAAACGGACCGCTGCACATTAACGGCTCTTCCTAGAGACATGCAGCTGAGTTTGTAGGTGAGTGGTGCATATGGATGCAATAAACTCAAAGGAGCTATTCCTGACTAACCAGTAAACACTGTACACTTCACTCAGTAGGCTGGACCTAGCCAAAGAAGCTGCTGGGACAAAGTAAGCATTCTGTAAATGGCTGAAATGCAATGTGTGATTACTTAATAGACCCGAATGGTTCCAAATCACTAGCTTGTAGACTGGTTTTAAAGAGCCGGATGGACTAGAATGGTTTCAAATGAGTCATTTTGAAGGAAGCGTTTAAGATGTATATTGTATATTTACCTGTGAGAAAACTGAGCAGCTGAAGGATTTTTTTTCTGGCAAATATTTAACATTTGAACAACAATCAAGGGGTGCCAAATTGTTCCCTATTCAATTTTAAATGTATGGGATTACCTCTATCAATTAAGGTCAGACATTTATCTAGAGCGAGACAGGTTCACAAAGCCAAGAAATTCCAATCCAGACTGAATTCCAGAGTCAGACATTCCTGTGCCACAAACTGAACCCGAAAGTAGTCTATTATCCAGTAGGGGAAGCAAATGGTGAAGCAGATTGTCAGAGAGAAAATATCGAGCTTTTTTTGAAAACTACGCTGTGTTGCCCTTGTTCTGGAGGTTTGAGTTCTGACTTGCTTCTCCAAAGTTCCTTTATACAGCCACACAGCCATGTTGGGGACAAGTGGCATCATCTCTTTATAAATGTTAACTAAAGGGCTCTCTTCACTTTCTCGTGATCTTAATCGTGGTTCTCCTGCATTCTTTTCTCATTTTAATCGAGGTGTGCTGGGAATGCAGTGCGATTGAGTGTCCCTCCAGTACCTAGCACATTGGAGCTTCAGTTTTGATTGGGCCTTTGCGCGCTACTACCCCAAGACAAATATAAGTAACAACTCGTGGTTCTATTTCTCTCCCACGCATTGAAGGTTTTCTTTAGCCGGGGCGTCTAGACAACTGTCAGTTCTACGGTGACTGTTTTCGACGGAGAGGCAAAAAATTATATGGCAGGGCATTTGAAAGTGGAGAAACTCCAGGGCGTCTGATTCTCATGTTAAAATGCTCCCTCCCTTTTATTACTAAATATGGACACGATTCTCTCCCTTAATCTTACATCTCAAACTTTGTCAAGACATCTTAATATTCACCTCGTGGCATTTCTCAGTCTTCAGAGGAAAACAATGGGTTAAATTGTAACAAAATCTGGAAGCATTTTAGGTAAATAAAAGGTAAAAAAAAACAGTGCCTTTTCTGTTTGGAAATCTGCTAAAAGAATTACTTATCAGTAATGTAGTATGTAAGTATCAGATTGCCCTGTAATTTGGAGTATTTCCTTTGTGTCTCTACCCTATTGTGCTCCCACTCCCCTTTAGTGCACGATCCTACGCGT